CTCATCTGTAAGATGGGTCCAGCAGTACCTCCTGAGCAGCCTGTGTGAGACACACCGAGCACAGTGCCTCTAGGGGGCGGTACAGGTCCATAAGGGTGCAGGTGGCGCTGGGACTGCCTCTGGCCCGTGCCAAGTGAGTCATCAGACTGTAGGCTTAGGCTGAAGTTGTTGAGGAAAGAGAGCTGGCCCTTCCCTTCTCACTCCCTGTTCTTCCTGCGGCGTCTGCAGGCGGGTAAGTCCTGGTTCTCCGGAGGCTGCTCCAAGAGGTGTGCCTGCAGAGCGGGCGCCGTTCAGTGCTGGCCCTTCACCTGCCCCTCGGGCTCCCAGTGCCAGCCCAAGGAGGACGGCAAAGACTACTGCACACCCGAGAGTAAGGGGGCCCTCGGGGAGGTGGAGCCAGAGGGGCCTGGGCTGGGGGCTCTGGAGAGGGAGGGACCCGGCACGGGCAGGGGTGGGCCTAGGCTCTCAGGCTCTTACCAGCTCCCTGGTCGCCTGCATGATCCTCTCTGGGATCTGCTGTCTTAAGGGCAAAAAGAGGGAACCAGACAAGGAGATCCTCTGAAGCTGGGAGAGGGAAAAAGTGGAAGGTCAAGTCCACGGGGAGCCCAGGGCTAAGAAGGAAGGTGGCAGGAGGCCCCAGGCAGGTGAGGGGCTCTGGGGCAGTTACATCGCTCAGGGTGCCTTCCCAGCGTCGGCCCTTCTTTTCAGAGTCGGAGCAATGCACAGTTTATGGGGACCCCAGTTACCGCACATTTGATGGCCTCAGCTACCGCTTCCAGGGCCGCATGACCTACTTTCTGATCAAGACCTTGGACGTGCTCCCTGATGGGGTGGAGCCCTTGGTCGTGGAGGGCCGCAACAAGGTGTATCCGTCCTTCAACCCCATCTTCCTGCACGAAATCATCGTGACGGTCTACGGCTACACAGTCCAGCTCCAGACGGAACTGGGACTTGTAGTAAGAGCCAGGCCAGGCCGGGAGGGTCTGGAGAGGCAGGTTGGGCCATGGGAGGCCACCTGGAGCAGGTGAAGCTAGGACTCTGTGTTCCCTGGGAAGGTCCCAGCAGAGGCTGCCTGGTTTTGGAAATCAGAATCAGTGCCACACTCACCTCCTTGCGGGGGTTGCGGGGGGGCGCGCAGAGGAGGGCAGTGGGATTACACACAAGGTGGGAGAGAGGCAGGGGGAGCGAGAGAAGGGAAACTCATGCCGCGTGAGGGTGGAGCTGCGCTCAAGAAGTACCAGGGCGCCCACCTGCCAGTTTCTTTGCCAGGAAGGGGCTGAGGCTGCAATAGGAGCGGACCTCAGGGAGGCCTTTGCCACTCGGGGTAGCAAAGCTTCCAGCGGTATCTTGTTCCCCGGAATGACGGCACCGAGAGGTACCAAGATGTGTAGAGAGACAGAGGCCAAAGCGGCAGAGGGTCACCTTGATTCAGGCCTCCGTGCCACTCCCGTCTGCCTTCTCCAGGTCAACGGTCAGAAGATGACCATCCCCTATGAGCCCAACGACCAGCTGCGGGTCACCATGCGAGGCCATCACCTATATCTGATCACAGACTTTGAGCTGGTCATCAGCTTCAATGGAAAGAACAATGCAGGTACCTGAGCCTGGGGACCGGAGGGCTGAAAGGACATTCCAAGGATGGGGGTAGGGAAAACCACGTCTTGGGCCGAACGAAAGGACCTCTGCCTGGGAGTGGGGCCCCCGAGCTCCAGGGGAGGACCCAGGAGGGGTGGGAAGTGACGAGGTGGGGAGTTTCGATTCTGGGCCCCCTTCCTCCTGCAGTGATCTCCCTGCCCATCACGTACCGGAGGCTTGTGCGCGGCCTGTGTGGCAACTACGACCAGAACAAGAGGAATGATTTTATGCTGCCCAACGGTGCCCTCACCCAGAACCTCCTTGTCTTTGGCAACAGCTGGGAGGTTAAGAAGACCAAGGGCGGCCTCCCCCGCTTCTCAAGGTGACAGGGCTGGGGCTCTGAGCAGGGAGGCCCAGCCCGGGGTGGAGGGCCGGTGAGCGGCACCGTAGTATCCGTTTACACCCTGCTCACCCCCATATCCTCAGCAGAGGAGGAACCCCGAGTTCAAGGGTTCAGACTGGCCTGATTCTCCTAATTCCATCGTTTTTTTCCCCTCCCTCTGTGGGGCACCTGCCCTGTGGATCCCGGTCTGTGCCCGAGCCCTCCCCTCCCGTCCCCCCTCCCAGTTCCTCCTAAGTTCACAGTCATGGTGGGCCTCACCTGGCCCTTCACTATCTCTGCTCCAGGGAGGTACAAGAGGAGCAAGTGAAAGAAGAGGCGTCAGGCTTTCACGTGTCAGAATGCAGCCCGGAGCAGCTGGAGCTCATCGAGCACACATGGGCGTGTAGGGTGCTGGTGGACCCCCGGGGCCCCTTCGCTGCCTGCCACCAGCCTGTGGCCCCGGAGCCCTTCCTGGAGTGAGTCGGGGACCCAGGACACGTGGGAATGCCCTTTCTCCAGGTCCTGGGTCCTGTTCTCTGATCGGCTCTCTGTTGGGCACAGTTCTCTCTGTGGCCTTGTCTCACACACACACACACACACGCACGCACGCACGCACACACGCACACGCACACATGCACACTGTCTGGTGGGGCTTCCAGGGCCTCTTCTGTGGGGCTGGGTCTCCTTGCCTCCCCATCTCTGACAGCACCCAACTGTCCCTGCCATCCCCCCAGGCACTGTGTGTCTGATCTGTGTGCCGCCCGGGACCCCAAAGAGCAGGACGAGCGGCGTTGCCAGATCCTCAGCGGGTACGCCATCATCTGCCAGGAGGCGGGCGCCACCCTGGTCAGCTGGCGGGACCACACCCGTTGCGGTGAGGCCCTGACCTTCCCCAGCAGCGGGCTCCTGACCTCGTCCCCCACCCCTGGCCATTTCCGCCCTCTGCTCCGCTCTGAGCTCCCACTGGTACCCGCACCTTGGCTTCCTGCCTTGCTTCCCCCAGCCCTGAACTTTCCCCTTGTCAACGCCCTCCCGAGCTAACTCCTTCTGTGCCCTCACCCGAAGCCTCAGCCCCGGCACCCCATCACCCCGTCACCCCGTCACCCTGTCCTGCTCCTCCTCGCCGGTGCCCATCCTCGCTCCACCTCATGCGCTGGTGTCACAGACGAAAAGACACGTAAAGCTGGTCCACTCTTCTGGCTCCCCTGCCTCTACCAAGCTCTGGGCTCTGTTGGGTGACCTCGTTGCCCATACGTGGGGGGCCAGCCCCAGTGCAGCCACCTTCTGACTATGACTCTGTCCCCTCTGTCCCCTCAGCCTTGCCGTGTCCAGCCAATACCGTCTATCAGAGCTGTATGACACCCTGCCCAGCCTCCTGTGCCACCCTGGCAGCTCCCAGAGACTGCAAGGGCCCCTGTGTGGAGGGCTGTGCCAGCCTCCCAGGCTACATCTACAGTGGTGCCCAGAGCCTCCCCCTGGCCCACTGTGGCTGCACCAACAATGGCATCTACTACCAGGTCTGGGCTGGAAGTGGGAGGCCTCGGGAGAGCAGACAAGGAGAGCCAGACTCTGGAGGTGAACCAGAACCCCACCTCCCGCCCCTTCTCCCTCTCCAGCAGGGTGACAGCTTCGTGACCGAGGATTGCTCCCAGTGCTGCACCTGTGCCAGCTCGGGGGTCCTGCTGTGTGAGCCCCTCAGCTGTAGCCCTGGGGAGATCTGCACCCTGGGGAACCTCACTCGTGGCTGCTTCCGAGGTGAGCCTGGACCGGCCCTTTGTAGCGGGCTGGGGGTGGGGGTGAGGGTGGAGGTGTCCCTGGACCGAGGAGCATCCCTCCCAGTCCTGTGCCTGGGACGCCATCTCATCAGTGTCAGGAAGTTCGTGCCATGCGATCCCACTCTGTCTTTTTCGGGAGGGGCAAAGGCACAGGCCCTGCCTTCTCTGAGCCTCTGCTCTCTGCCGGGCACTGTGCTGGGCCCTTTGCCCAGCGTTAGCTTCCCAGGATCTCCTTTAGTCCTTACTCACCACTTGGGGGTAAGCACAGCATCCCCACTTTATAGGTAAAGAAAATGGAGTTCAGAGAGGGTAAGCAGTTTCCCCAGAGCTCGGCGGGTGTAGAGCCAGGACTGGAAACCCGGCCAGCGGACCCTGGCGAGTCTCTGTCAGCTGCTGCTTTCTTCCCTGGTGTCCCAGCCCCCAGGCCCCTCTCCCTGGCGCTGGGTGTCCTCTCAGAACCCCCCTCCCAACCCCTTCCATCCTTGCAGACAGTCCGTGCTTACAGAACCCCTGTCAGAATGATGGTCGGTGCCAGGAGCAGGGAACCCACTTCACCTGTGAGTGTGAGCTTGGTTACGGGGGACACCTCTGCACGGAGCCTCAGGATGTGCCACTCCCCAAAAAACCAGGCAAGAACTTCATCCCAGGCCCTGTATCCTCACAGCCCCTTCCCCACAAACAATGGCCACAGAATTACCCCATATATATAATGTTAACCTAGAATATCTATTATAGATGTATAATATACTATAGTATCAATGTCATATATTACTATATGAAATATATAATATTACAATATGATCGCTACAGATTAGCCAGATCAGTGTCCTTCAAGGATCTCAGAGTCCCTTTGCCCATCTCCTACCCACACACTCTGGAATCTTCTCTCTGATCCTGAGCTCCCCACTTCTGAGATCTGTATGCCTCACCCTGCTGTTATTCCCCTCTCTTGTGTGCCTCTGAGCCTCCAGTACCTTTTACTGGTATTCTCCATCCCAAACTGTAATTTCTGTGAGCCTCTGGGCCAGCAGTTCTCCAACTTTATCCTCGTGCCTAAGATCGGAGTGGAGCAGGGCTGTCTTGTTTACCTTGTTCATTCCAGGACTCCTCCCCAGAGATTTGGATTCAGTAGGTCTGGAGGGGGCCCCAGAGATCTGCATTTTTCACAAGCTCCCAGGTGACCGATGGAAGTGATGCCTGGGCTACTCTTTGAGAAGCACGGACCGACATAATACCCTGGACTCTAGGGGACCAACTGGATAAACATCCCCTTAGAAGGTTCATGGGAGTTGTGTGTCCAGAAGCAGGAGGGCAGCGCCAAGGCCTTGAAACCCCTGGGAGCAGCGGCCTCCTAGAGGCAGAACCAGCCACCAGGGATGTAGGGGATGCAGTCCCTCCAGGGTGGCAGCCGAGGACTGAAAGGGAGTGTCTCTCCCACCCCTTCCTATCCCACATCCCTATTTCTCTTCTCCACGCCCCAGAAGCCTCCAACTTTGTGGTCATCCTGTTGGGATTGCTGGTGCCTGTGCTGGTCGTAGTGTCAGCAGTGACCAGAGAATGCATTTCCAGGAAGAGAAGGAGGTGAGTTTCAGGAAAGGGGAAGAGGAGGGGCGGCTGGTAGGGGAGCAAACACGGGGAGTGGGCGCCGACCTTCAAGCTGGTGTCTGTTCCCCACGCCCTCTAGGGAGAAAATGCAGAGCCAGACCAGAGACGAGCTGCCAGGTACCGGTGAGCACCAGCCCCACCGTCCACAGCTTTGGCTCCGGGAAGTCGAGTCTGCTTCTAATACAAGGTTTTCTCACTTTCTCCTCAGATTTTGCTCCAGAGCATGCCTTCAAAGTCGCTCAGTTTTGAGTTGTCCACAGAAGGAGACATAAAATTATTTATTTTTGAGATGTGAATTTGTATGTGATTCTGGTGGAGAAAGGCTCTGTGAGGGGGGTCTTGAGGGGAGAAGTAAGAGGGAGACGGGGTGTGAGGGTCTAGGGCTGGGGGCTCCACAGAGCGTCCAGAGGGGAGGGGAACAGAGGTCTGAGGAGGTGAGGGGCTGTCTGTCCCTTAGACAAAGCCACGTGAGGGTGGGCCACCCGCCCTCCGGCTTCGGGGATACAGGAGAAAAGACTTCATGCCAGGAATCCTTGTTCTTGGCGGACTTGGCTTCAGAGCTCCCCACCGGCAGGTAGTGAAAGGTGATCCTGAGGTTTTACATTTCTAACAATGAGACTAAGGCGCTGGGCAGAGGCTAAGGACTGGGGATGTGGCTTTTTCCAAAGGGTGAACCGGCCTGCCTGTGACCAAAAGGGCCTTGGGTTTCCTATGGTAACTGAGGGTGGAGTCTGAGGGCCGGCTTGGGAGGAGTTTGGAGCTCCAACCTATTAGGAGTGAGCAGCTCACCTCCACCAAAGGCCAAAGTGCAAACACTCCCACCCTGACCCCTGTGCCTCGTGCCTCTCACCGGGCAGGTCCTGGGGGAAGTGGTGGGACATCCTGCTTGGACTCTAAGAAAAAGAAGGTTGTCAACTGGGGGTGCTCAGGATGTGGGACCCCCCAAGGACAGGGGATGCCAAAACAGGCAGGACCCTGGGTTCTAGAAAGGAATCCTTATTCTGTGCTTGTCCTCCAAATGACCCCAGAAGCCACCTTCATGTAAGGAAGCAAGACCCAAGTTGGTTGGGGAAAGGGCTCCAAGGGAGGGGTGCCCCTGGCCAGGCCACCCAGCCCCTTAGCTGGGGGGAGCAGCTCACACTCTGGAGCTTGCGACAGGAAGGCTCAGGCATTCTGGAACTGGACTGGCCGTGCTTTAACCTGGGCATCACGGGGCTCCCAGCGGCATGCCTGCCCCCACTGAGCTCCCTTCTCCTGCTCTTTGATCCTTTGCCTCTCTGTTCTTCATCTATATCCTGCCCCCTTGATCTCGGTCCCTCCCCTCACCCAGCTAAGGTCTCCTTATCTAGCCTGGATGTCTGGTTGGCAGCGAAGGAGGTGGCCTGGACCAGCATCCTCGAGATAGACTTCCTCCTTCCGGAAGTAGGGGGACCCAGACCCCCGCTGTCATCGGCAGGACGGACTCCCACCCGCCCCCTTTTAGGGGTACAACACCTGGGCCATGTCATCAAGGGAGGGGACAGAGGATTCCAGAGTATAATACTCCCGAAGGCAGTTGTAGAGGCAGGAAATCGGGGACAGGATCCCTGCCGGAGGCTTCCTGGGCTGGGAGAGGCAGAGACTGTGATTAGGGGTCCTGTACTGAGCCCAACACGACAACAGGGGTAAGCTGAGATGCAGAAATGGCGGGGCTGCACCAGCTTGACAAACCTGACCTGGTCCAGGCCTGCCCCTGCAGTTGTCCCCTGGGGCGGGCAGGCTGGGAAACCAAAGATGCTGAGAAAGACTTTGGGGGATTGACCCCCATCCTCATCTCATCTTCCTGTTTGGGAGGGAGAAGTTAGGGGAAGATACTCAGGTGGTTTCCCCTCCCTTCCCAAGAGGCTGGGAGAACCTGCCTGGGCAGCATCTTGAAAGGGGGAATTGTCCTCCCAACCCAGCGCAGCGTCTGTACACGTGTGTGTGTGTGTGTGTGTGTGTGTGTGTGTGTGTGTGTACTTGTGGGGGGTCCACATCCTCCACTCCAGCCTCTGCCCCTCCTCCACAGCCGATGCAGACACTCCCCCCACATTGCCTCTAAACCAACCCCAGCTGTCAACATCTGGCCCACATCTGTCTCTTTCATGTGACTGGACCTCCACCCCAGATTCCCCCCTCCCCCCTTCAGGGGGCTGTAGGGCCAGGCTCTGAGCTCAAGGCCTCCCCTGCCTCACAAAGCCCCCTGCCAGGGCTAGGGAACCAGGGCAGGGGAGGGAGGGCAACCCCATCCCGGAGGTGCCCCAGGCTATTGGCAGAGCCATCTGGAGCTGTTAGAAGCAGCTGCCGATGACTCATCTTCCACTGCCCCCACCATACCACCTCAAACACACCGTGGGGCTGGGAACCAAGCACCCAGCCCCGTCTCCAGACCTCCGACCCCTCTCAGCCTGGCTCAAAAGCTCCTTCACACCAGTCCCCACCCTCCACAGAAGTCTATTCCCCCACCCACCCCACTCCCAATCATCCCCAGAGCCAGGACACTTTCCATTTTCTTTTATTTATACAAAACAGTTGTTTTAAATATAATTTAAGAACCCCTCCAAGCACCAGTGTCTGTCTCTTGTTTCTAACACCACTGCCCCCCACACCCCCTCATGGACACAGCTTAGGGGTACTTGGGGGGGCAGGGAAATGTCTGGGGTTGTGGCGTGACCAAGGCACTGTTCTGGAAACACAACGATGGGTCCCTGTTTCAACTTGGGCAAAGGAGGCGATAAACAGGTGCCCTCTAACACAAAAAGTTACAAGGACGGTATAAAAAAAAAAGGGGGGGGGGGGGAAAAATAAGACCGAAAACAAAAAAAAAAACTCAAAAACCTTAAATA